TTAATATATCTTGACTTTCTTGAAAATGTAAACATAATAATCGTAACAAAATTGGGTAAATATCCCTTAATCGGGGGATAAATGTGGTGGATAATAATGACATATTTGTTACCATATAAGAAGAGTATTTATGAGTATGAGTTGTAAAATGAAATTTAAATTGGAGAACCAAAAACATTGACACGCGGCGTATTATTGATTTAATAGCGTGACACATGGTAAAATAAGATTAACCCTATTCATTTATTAGATAGAAGGATATTTTTTAAATAAAGTGTTGTCAACGACATACTTATACTATAGAGTAAAGTACAAAACTTATCCCTACAATATGAAAAATTATGTCTCTCGTTCTAAAAGAATTTAATTACAGAGATCGTACACACCATTTTCGGTTGATAAATCGTCTAACTTAATGGTATAACCATTAAATCCTATATTTATCATATTTACTCATACAATATAAACATTCTAAATATAAGCATTCTATGATATGATTCTATCTTTTACAACAAGGATTACATGTAAAGCTTAGCCACGCATCCTTTAAACACTTATTTCCATAAAACAACACACAGACGATTATTGTTTCTTTGATCATCCACCATTCCACCCCCATCCGCCTACTGAGTTTTGCAAGTTCTTCATAACTATTCCTGTCATTTATAAATATCTTTTATCTTCCCATATTTCATATAACAAAAAAACACTTTCTTACATAAACCGGAAAAAAAAAATGGCGTAACATTATCCTATAAAAAAAATCAGTTTATTGCATAAACACACAATTAATGAATTAACTCATTATAATATATATATATATATATATACCTCGGACTCCGAGATGTTTGTTGATGAAGAAGTCGTGTCTATGTCTCCTTGTGTATCTGAAATCCGTGCTTCCGATTTCTCATTGGAGTACCTAAAAAAAGTCAATATATCAAATTGTGCATTATCTAGTTGTACTGTACAATGGCATGATGCAGAATTAAAAATAGAGATAGAAAATTAGAGATACTTACGTGGAGAGTATGGTTACCCACACAAGCTCAACACAATCCACCCAAAGAAGTCTTTGCTCAATAGGAACCACACCATATGTTATTAGATGTGCAAATGGCCATAGCTTCCATCCCGCCTATATCAAATCAAGAAACTAAACTTTTACTCATAAATAATATAATAGAATACAGGTAAATATCTGTAAGTATGTTGTATGATATGCTTACTGTTAACATGGGGAAGAATGTTGCTTTGAGTTCATTGGAAATATTGGTGGGGGACTCAAATCGTAATAATCCCAAAACCACAAAATAGATGCTGTTCCAAATCGCTGACCATACTGTTTGGTCAAATGCAATTTTTGCTGGAACTACCCACCAGTCTTTCCAAGGGATAAGAGCCTAGAAACAACATAACAAAATTTTAATCGAGTGGTGTGGGTATAAATAATTGGGTGATTTTCAGGATGATATGCTATAATAAACAAATAAATGAAAGTATGTTGTTATTGTTAATTTGAATAAATGTGTCATCACCTCGCATATTTGGTAATAGAAATGGGAAAGAGATCCGTGGAGAGTGAATCCTACAAGGCCCGATCGAAACAACCGAGTCCTGTCGAACTCAAATAGAGGCTTCCCTTCGTAACACTACAAATTCATTTAAAAGAAAAAAGATAAAATTAGTTTACTCTTTTTACAAATATATGAAATGTAATTTACCTTTTTGTTACCATAATTACGTTTTTATTGATAATAGCAATAAGTAAGGGTAAAGTATATTGTTTTTCTTTGCAATTTATTCTTAAAAAACATTTATAAATGTTGAAAGTGGAAAAAAGAACATATTGAAAAGCTAAATTCAGCAAGAAATTTGGGAGTAAAGAAGTTACTTGTGCAATCCAATCGCCTATAGAGTAAACAACACCACTTATCATCATCTTAGCCAAAACAGGATTTTCTTTAAGAGCTTCTTCATAAGCAATCCAATTGTGCTCAGGAGCATATCTTAGTATCTCGTAAAGGGTCCATCCCTATATCACATGAGTAAAACAAGATAATTCATACATTAGAACTTCAAAAATCTTAAATTACATAGCTACCCCTAGCTTTAAGTAGTTTATTATATGATCGTGATACATATTCTTTAGGTTACAATAATAAGTGCTCATTACAGTAATTCTGCCATATTGAATGCCACAGGGGACGCCATGTCAGTGCCAGGTAGATATAAGTAAACAAATTCTACCATATTGGATGCCACTGTGGACACCAAGAAGGATTCAATGGTGGTTTTTCGGTTGAAATACACCCAGATGATGTAATGAGAACACACAAAATTGTCCGTTGGTTTATTGATTACAAATTAAAGATAAGTCGCCTAAAAAGAAAATTAGGTATGATTGGTTTTCGTGACATTAACCAAACAAGTTATCTCCAAATTTATATACAGAAGTGAGAAATTACACGCATCCAACACAACTATTTAGAAGTAAGTGAAGCTCATGAAAGAACTGAAATCAAAACTCACATGCCAATACTCATGATCGATGGTGAGCAGCCTAGTGACAGCAAGAGTACCAAAACCAAGAACAATAGAAGCATTAACTGCTTTACCCATAAATCTATCAATTTCTTCCGACCCATCTCGACCAACAAATTCCTTGTCTCCCCCTTCAAATCCATTTCCACTTTGCTCGTTTTGTTTGAGATCGGAGATGCTAATCTTTTCCGTAACCACTTCCCTGTCCTCTGCGATGGATTTGATCAGTACATGACTGTTTCTTGATTGAGTGAAACATTTAGATGAAGAGAAGGATAAGGGGGTTGAAGATGAGATGGGTCTTTTCGGTGGAGAGAGTTTGCAGGTTGAGAAGACGTAATTGCTGATGGAAGCCATGGTTGAGGGTTGTTTGATCAATATGAAGTTTTGGTTTTTTGCCCTTGATCAGGAAATTAGCTATTTTTATATTTTATGCTGAATTACAAAAGTAGTCCTTTAAGTTTTTGGGGTTTGGGCATTGCGACGTGGGATTAGAATTATCTTTACATTTTCCTCTCCTCGTCGACACACAAATCACATGTACAACCAAAGTTTGACTTAAAACAAAGAATATAAGTTTGACTTTGCAATCTTCTTTTCCCACGAAGTTTATGCCCAAAAAATTTTTCTCAATCCGTTGTGACGAATTTTAAATAAGAAAAATGCTAAATCGGAATAAAACTAAATGAACTTTATACAATTTTATTATTGAGAAAACACATGGTACATTAACGAGACTATTGTTTAAAAGATGTTTTTGTATTTTGATTTGTGTAATAAGATAGTATGTTGCGAATTGTCTGAGACTAATGGGGATAGTTGGTGTGTTTTGTTCTAGATATCGATAGCTTGGAGTGTTGTCCAACTTTTCCTAGTTTTCCTGAGCAATAAGAGAATGTTATATAAGTCTTAGATGTTTACCGATTAGATTCCTAGTCATATGCGGTTTGTTCGGTATATATATGTTCGATAGGATCATGTAAACATGTATTGGAGTTTTGAGTTATAAGTTTCTTTAATACAAATACTTGCGAGTTTATGCAACATACTATTATTATTACATCATGTTCAACTTTAATTGGTATTAGAGCACGAAGGCTAGATCAATACTCAACCATTGATGACAGGAGGAGAGCCTTCGAACCCACCAGTAAAGGAACCGACCTCATTAACGTTTCAATGTCCAACACTAAACATAACAAGTTACTTAATATGGAGAATGCGCAAGGTTCTAAATAGCATGAGGCGTGGCGTGGCGGCATGGTCAAACCTCAAGCTTAACAAGCTATGACGTTTTTCAAGGCGTAATGTAAGGCGGCGATTTTGTATTAATTTAAAATTATATTACCACATAAATATAAATTTATATTAAATATAACTACTTTTTATAAGTGTTAGATCAATAACTAGTAACAAAAATTTAACGAAAACCACAATACATGTATCTCCGATTAGAAAAGACATAACAAAGAGCAAAAAACCGTGTCTCAAACGAAAAAACACGCACCATAACACGCCATGGCGCGCCATGGCGCGCCATATCACGTCTTGCCACGCGCCACGCCTAATAGCAACGTTATGAGGCTTTTCGTAACGGCGGAGCCACGCCTCACGCCATGGCACGCCTTGGCGTGCGCCTTTTAGAACACTGAGAATGCGTATGGACGTACTTCTTGGGATCCATGGTTTCTAGGATGTGATCGATCCTAAATGATGTGAAGAAAAACAACATCGTGAAAGGATTGTTATTTCAATCAATTCCAGAAATTTTAATTCTTCAAATCAATAACCTAAGAACCGGTAAGGAGCTATGGGATGCGATTAAGACTCGAAACTTAGGGGTTGATCGAGTAAAGGAAGCCAGACTCCAGACACTAATCATAGAATTCGAAACCTCAAGATAAGTGATACCAATACAATAGACGATTTCACAGAAAAATTATCAGGGATTGCTTTGAAATCTACTTCACTATGAGAGGTCATGGTTGAAAAGAATCTTGCGAAAAAGTTTCTTACAAGCCACAAGGCGATTTATTCATATTGTAATAGCTTTTGAGCAAGTCTTGGATCTTAAAACGATAGGTATTGAGGACGTGGTTGGTCGCTTAAAAACCTATGAGGAAAGGATCAAAGGTAAGGGTAAAACATTCGTATTACAAGCAAAACTACTTTATTCCAAAACTGAATCCTCCAACAAAAATAGTGATTCATCAAGAGGTAGAGGTCGGGGTTCGAGCTATTGAGGTCGTGGTCATGGCGGTGGACGTGGTCGAGGTAACACCTAAAATCATGCTTACTCATAACCCTCCAAAAATCAAGAAGATCAAAAGCCAAAGAGAAAACAACATGAACAAATAAATCTCTCAAATATCTAGTGTTACCATTGTGACAAGTATGGATACTTCGCTTCTAGATGCCTGAATCGAACCAAAAAACATGAAACAAACCTCAAGGAGATGCAAGAATGGGACATGAATCACGAAGAAGGAGTGTTTTTCATGATGAATGAAATTCAAGAAATGGTGTTCTTGAACAAAGACAAATACATCCCTCCAAAGATTGAGCCCAACACCGATAAAGACAGAGTTTGGTACTTAGACAATGGTGTAAGTAATACATGACCGGTAACTACTCATATTTTTCTGAATTAAATAAACAAATAACTACAAGGGTGAGGTTTTGAGATGGGTCATGTGTTAGTATTAAAGGAAAACAATCAAATTTTTCTAAGGAAAAAATGGTGAGCAAAAATTGATGAAAGATATTTATTACATTTCCTCCCTTCTTAGTAATGTAATAAGCCTTGGGCAATCTACAATATTTTGGTTGTGACATTCGAATGAGAGGAGATTTCCTAACTATGTGAGATGGAGATGGAATGTTACTTATGAAAGTCCTGAGAAGTGCAAATCATCTCTATAAATTCAATTAAAAGTCGGAAAACCATATAATGTAGTTGTTATTGATCGAGTATATGAAACGAAATCAGAGTTTGGGATGAATTATGAACACAAGATGTAAATATGATATGTATGACTTGATTACAGTTTAAGAGGATACAGGGAAATATAGAGAGTACAAGTCGAAGACTCCAAGAACTTCTCTAACTCTACTACTCTAGTACACATCCCATATTTATAGAGATAAAAAAAAGAGTAAATTATACGAATGGTCCCTATGGTTTAGGGTAATTTACGTGTTTGGTCCCTAACTTATTTTTTTAACTCAGAAGGTCCCTACTGTTTGTTTTTGTTACGCGCTTGGTCCCTATCTGACCTAAAAAGACTATTATGCTCTTGATTTTTTTAATTTATTTAAATGAACACTCCCCTAATCTCATCCCCTCACCTTACTTCACCTACCCCATTATTTTTTTCTCTTTAAATAATAGTCTTTTTAGATAAGATAGGGACCAACCGCGTAACAAAAATAAACAGTAGGGATCAAACGCGTAACAAAAACAAACCATAGGGACCTTCCGAGTTAAAAAAATAAGTTAGGGACCAAACACGCAAATTACCCCAAACCATAGGGACCATTCGTGTAATTTACTCTAAAAAAAATATACAAAAACATATAAGGGACTAAAATTTTACAGCTTCAATACAAACTCTGTCCTTATACAAAACATACAAACTAGCTTTCAAAACTTAGTCTGACCTAGACAGATTTCGACACCTCACAACTACATTCGATCTCAACATATAGCTAAAATTCATGAGGAATCATAGTTATGGCACGCACAACTTGGCCACATCAATTTTGGAGCGGTAAACTTGATGCACAAGCTACCTGTTGGGATTTTATTCAACAATTGTTTAAAAAACATAAACAATGCAACAGGAGACTTAAGATTTGAACAAAAATAAAACTAGTTTTATTCCCACAAATGATCATTTTGCAAGAGTTATTGATATGTGCATATCTATACATTACTAGAAAACAACCCTTTAATGACACACAAACAATGACACTCGCTAATAGAGGACGCGTATTTATGTGTGCCCTAAAAAATAATGTCAGTTTTTCAAAATTTAAAGGATAGAATCATGATATGCTAATGTTTGTATTTCTGTCAATTGAGATGAAATCATTCATGTCACGGGTGCTTATACTTCACGTTCGTATGATAAAACCCTAACCGTAAAAAGCACCATTCTCTAGGTTGAGAGCAATGATTCCATCAAGAATGTCAAATACATGATCCATGTTCCTCTTTCTCTTCTATTCTTACCTCTAATTTTGATTTTGAAACTTCTCATCTTCTCCTCTATAAAACCCTAACCGGAAAAATCATACGGGTTTCAATTGTGATTTCCTCCTCCATACTCGATCCCTACTTCTACTCTCTAAGCATCTCAGGTAGGATCCGTTCTTTCTCCCTTTTTCTCCTTCTTTTTCTTTGTTTTCTCAGGTACGACATCATTCTCCCCTCACTTTTCTACTTGTGCATCCCATTCTGATACTTTTCTACTTGATACAATCATCGACGATTCAAAACCATCAAACGCTTCAGCATCTATCGTATTCGGGGAATTCATCCTAATCCATTAACACCTTTCATTTTTCATTAAAAAACCCTAATTGACTTGGCAAGTTCATGAACCAAATGTAGCACATCCCAAACTGGGGATTTAACCAAACCCGATAGAGCCATTGACGGAATCTTTGGATTCGGTCAACAAGGACTCTCGGTAATCGTGCAGCTTTCTTCACAAGGGATCGCTCCAGATGATTTCTCTGATTGTCTCGTCGGAAACGGTGGTGGTGGTGGGATTCTGGTTCTAGGTCAGATAATCGAGCCAACCATGGTGTATACTCCATTAATCCAGTCAAAGTAAGTTCTCTTTTGCTTATCTCTTATCATAAAACATTAACAATGCTTCGATGATTTTAAGATCGCAAGACTATCTTCTTCAACAGAACTCGATGGTACAGGTATTGTTGTTTCCATTTATACCCTTTTCCCTGAAAATTCTATTTTGTATATTTACTTCTCCTTTTGATTTCAGGATCTTCTGATTTTGGCTTGCAGTCATGCTGTTTCCATTTATACCCTTGTCCCTGGGGAGTATCCTTATATTCTTATACAAATTTCGCATCTTTTATATTTATAATTTTCTTAACTTTTCTATCTCTCTGCAATTATATTTAGTCGATTGGATCCAAGAGAAAAACTCGTTATAGGTTGTCAAAAAGCAACAAATTTTGCTGAAACATAGGTATAATTCTTTTAACACACACATATATACATACATACATTTATGCTTTTTGATAATATTATTCTTGAGTAGATTAGATGTATAATTGGAAACAACAATACTTGTACCATCGAGTTCTCTGATGAGGTGTTTCTTATGATAGCCAATTTGAAATCAAGTTCTAAAGTATGTTGTCACTATTTCTTGTAAATTATAGCTTTATGAAATCAAATGGCACATGACATATATGATATATGATTTGGCATTTGGCAGAGAATGTGGAGAAGACTACAATTTGTGAGCTTAAACTCGATGAAGCAAATGTTAAGCACTTTAAGGAAGCTATTGACAATAACTATTGGTTTGAGTTTTTCATGGGTACACCTTCTAGACTTTTCTTCTTTCTTTTGTACTTGAATTACACTTTTCTTCCCCCACATTCTTATTTCTCCCACATTTTCTTTGCGATTTCAATTTCTTTGGTCTCTGCTGCATTGGAACATAAATTCAGATGATCTTCCATTATGGGGTATGCATCTACCAAACCCTTTTTGTATCTTCAATTTACTTTATAACTAGTATTTTAATCCCATTTTTATTTTGTTATCGTGGAACTATTGTTGGCCCTATAGGATTTGTTGGTGAGCTACATTCTAATAGGAACAGTGATAACAAGCATATGATATTGACACATAAGAATATCACTCTTCAATACAACAAAGAACAGTTCTCCAAATTTTAATCATATATGAACTTTTACACTATAAAAGCTTCTCATAGTCACACCGTTTTAATATTTTTACATCATGATTTCTTGTTATTGCAGATCATTCATGTCAACCTCACTCAAGAGAACCCAAAACCCTTGGAAGTTGGGAAAACTCTGGACATGACTTACTCAGTCAAATGGACAGAAACCAACATCACATTTGCACGCCGATTTGAAGTTTACCTGGATTACCACTTTTTTGAGCATCGGGTGAACACTAAAAGTCTGTAACTCATGTTTTAAGTTCCACTCACTGGGGTATAACTGTCTTTTTGTGTCACTGCAGATTCATTGGTTTTCCATATTCAATTCATTCATGATGGTTATCTTCTTGACTGGATTGGTTTCCACGATTCTGATACGGTCTCTTAGAAATGACTATGCAAAGTATGCTCGGGAAGATGATGATCTGGAGAGTCTGGTAATGTGTAATAATGAATTTGGTAAGTTATTGCAATGAAGTTATATATGGGCTATTGAAGTGTTTAGTTTTTAGGAAAGAGATGCTAGTAAGGAATCTGGTTGGAAGCTTGTGCATGGAGATGTTTTCAGGCCACCTTGCAATTTGGTTTTGTTGTCAGTAGTTGTTGGAACTGGTGCTCAATTGGCACTATTGATTCTTCTTGTTATATTGTTTGTAATTGTTGCAACATTATATATTGGGTACGTTATTCTTATGTATCACATGATATGACATAACAGGTTATGATGCATTTCACTTTGAACTGGGATTGATGTCTTAATGAGACAAAAATTGAAATTGGTTGCCCCTTTGGATACACTCTTGATCTCTTATCTATGCAAAAGACATGAATACCCTCTTCATCATCACTGATGAAAATGGCCCTACAAAGCTTGTAATCAGATTTCCACACTTGAATACCTTTATTTCAGAAAGTGTTAAATGCTAGAAATAGCAACAAACTTTCATTTATGTCTATTATGACATTGTACTATGAAATTCTATCTAATTATAGGTCATTCAAATACATAACCTTTTTCCCTTATACAAATGGATAGATAGATTTCTCAAATAAGAAAAAATTTAAAGCACAATGCTATAACTGTTTAGATCTTTTAAAGTATAATGCTTAATAAGAGAAAAATGTTACAAGCACTTTCACTCGTACTATTACAACATTGTGTTGTTTTAAAAATCTAGTCGATTATAGCAATATCATTTTTATTCAAAGCATTTTTCACTACTATAACTGGATAGATCTTTCAAAGCATAATAATGTCGGCCATAACAAGAAAAAAGAAATCGAACTTCAATGCTATAACTGGATAGATATTTCAAAGTACAAGGCCTTAATAAGAAAAGAAATATAAGTACAATTATGTAATTGAAACAAATAGAAGTAAAATGTTGCACTGCACAGATAAATGAAAGTACAATGTTATTACTTGTTTTTTTCCCTTTCAGAAAACAAAGACCTGCTTACCTTAATCCTGATAAAGTGTGGTGATGATGATGAAAATTGTCATGTTGTAAGTGTAAATTTTTTTTTTCGTTATCAGGAGAGGAGCAATTGTGACAACATTGATAGTTTGTTATGCTCTCAAACCAGCTTCTACTTTGGATACACGGCCATGTTCTGTCTCGGTTTAGGAATCCTCTGTGGTCAATAGTTAAAACTTATAACTTACGAGTTGATGTATTTATCTATCAAGTGTTACTGAATCTTGGTTGATGATATTTGCAGTAGCCGTTGGGTATTTGGGGTCGAATCTGTTTGTGAGACGGATCTACCAAAATATCAAGTGAGATTGATTGATTGATGGAAGGAAAGATTCCCCGGTTTTGTAGTTTAATGTGTGGATACCAAATCAAGGGTCTAAATGGGGATTGATTATATATATGTAAGCTATGCTTTGAGGAGAATTAGTTTTCATGGGAAGGAAAGGAATGTAGAAGATTGCAATGCTATCGTTTTCTTATTATCAACAGAAAGGGGATAGGGGTGGGGGTGGAGGTGGCATGGTTGAGTTGAAGATTGTTGAATAAGTTGTTTTATACATGTTCTATTGTATTCTTCTTATTCATAGGCGATTTCAAAAAGTAAACACTCTTAACTCTGTTTTATTTTTATTTCTTTTATGATCATCGGTTATAAGCCTCAAAATTAGACATTATCTTCCTTGTTTTAGGGATATTAATGTGATTTTATCTTTATTATTATTTTCACTTGATGGCTATGTGGTTTAGCATAAGTCTGAATTATCTAATGACTTCTGTTATGAAACAGAAAGAAGAGAAGACCTTGAGAGTAAGATAAGCATGACAGCTTATCTAATGACTTATGTTATGAAACAGAAAGAAATGATGGTTGACAACTTCAATAGAGGTATTAAATTTCTTAATTTTCATCAGTTTAACCGCAGTATCTACTTTTCTACATGTCTTTCTGTGATAGCAAATTCCTAACTATGTTGTTCATTAGATATATCAAAATGGTGCAAGAGAAGGAGAATGTGCAGCTTAAAAGGATTAACACAGGGTATGAAAAAACCAAATTACAGCTGGAAGACCATGAAAAGAAACTAAGAGCACATGAAGTGATAAACGAACGTGAGAATAAAAAGTTTGACACTGAGAAGAAAATGGTATTAAGATCCACTGTTGGCAATTTTGGAGTAGAAGAAGGTAAATGATAAAATGTTGAAGTTGGCTGGAAATCACAAGGTTTTTTAGCAGCTTTTTATTTTCCTTTTTTCAGATGAGCATATGTTTGGATTATGTTTCTATTTTATTTTAGTAAATAAGTTATGAATAATTGTACAGAAAGAAAAAGAGAAACTTCACCAGAAGATTATTGTGCTTCAAAAGAAGCTTGATGATAAGCAATGATTGGAGCTAGAGATCAAACAGATAGAAAGAACCATGGAAGTAATGAAGCACATAACTCATGAAGATGTTGAAGCAATGAAGAATTTTGAGTCGATAAAAGAAGATCTGAAAGAAAACGAAGAGGAACTTGAGGATTTGGAAGAGCTTAATCAATCATTGGTAATTAAAGAAAGACTAACTACAAGAAAAAAAGCCTTTTACGACGCGCAAAATACGACGCTCATTGATCTATGTTACGCAAAGGAGAGTGACATTAGAAAAATGTCATCTCTTCAAAAAATTTAAGGATAGAAGACACACATTATTGCGCGCCCTTAAATTAGTGTCTAAAAAAAACACGGAGGGCACCTATAATAAAATGCGCGTCGTCTAAGGATGTCGCTTTATAATTTTTAATGGAACGCGCGTTCCATCCTTTAACAGTAGGGGGAAATGAAATTCTGAAAAAATTAAAAATCCCGCCTTCCTTTTTTTTCTCCTTTCCCTCTTGCCCTGGACGCTCCTTCCTTCCCCCTCCCGACATTGACTGCTGCTTACTTCTTCCCTCACTTCTACCTACTGGAACCACCATATCTCCCACTCGATGTTGAAATTGTTAGAAAAAGCCCTAATTATACTCTCAAGTCTAAATACAGAAAAAATACAAGATGGTGAAGAAGTAGCAGTAGAAAAAGCCCTAATCGGAGGTGGTCCTGTTCTTCATTGTTTCTTCGATGTTGAAATTGTTAGAAAAAGCCCTAATCGGAGGTGGTCCTGTTCTTCCTCCCACCACGATTCCCAGCTTTTGTTCGCCGGAACACCGATTCCACCGTGGTTTCTGATCCACGCTGACCAGTCGTCCCAGTCTTCAACGATTTTCTGCGATTCAAATCCGGATGGGTTGAAAAGAAAAGGGGCGAACAGCCACGACACGACTAGGAACCACATTGAGATGGTTAGGTGGCTCTGTATTTGGCGCCGCCGTGGAGAATTGTGCGACCGAAATAGTGAAGTTTGGTGCCAAGAGAGAAGGTGAAGAAGACAGCGGAGAGCTGGAGGTTCATGATTATTAGGTCACCGAGTGCAGTTCTGAAGCCTCTTTCGAGTCCGATCTCCATAATCATCGGTAACGCCATTAAAAGACCAAGTTGAACTACAGATTGAGAAGCCATGGCTGCTTTCAAAGGTTTATCTCCTTGCATCTTTGCTGATTTCATAATCGCTTTTTCTAATCCACTTAAACAGAGATATAATCTCCCGTATAAGAACGCATACACAGTAAGCATCACCATCTGAAACATAAGATAATTTGTCATTTTCTTTAGACTTTAAACTGTTAGACACACACACACACACACACACACACACACATATATATATATATATATATATATATATATATATACAGATATTAATTAATTTACCATTGAGCTAACGTCGTCCTAGTTCCTAGATGGTGTTTGTGTGTGCATAGACACACACGAATGTGGAGTCTCCAAAGCTGTTGATATCATAGACAACATCATAAAGGATCCTTCAAGGGCACAATTGCTAAAGTTTTTCATGTCTGATGGAGATCTTTCAAAAGAACTTGATGACAGATTTGGCTCTTAGTGTGGGGATATTTTGGTCTTGATTGTTATTAGAACTTTTTAACTTTTAACTTTTATGATTTAGTAATGATTTATTCCTATTTTTATTTTGTAACAGGCTTCGGTTCCCACGAACGAATCTGATAATGATTGACCAGGTTCAACAAAGTCAAACGTTCATATTTTGATAGAGGTAAATACCAGAATACAAAATGAAACTAAAAACAATAATTTATAAAATGAAAATGATCCTGTATTTACAAAACCAATAACAATCGATACATCAATATGTACAACAACTTACATTACAATGAACCCGTATCGTTAACCATTCAAAATTGACATTGAAGAAACAATGAAAAGTTTTTACCTTTTGTTACTTTTCTAACTCGGTTTAAGCAAAAATTCACCTTTTTTTTACTGGGATTGCAGCTGTGTACTTACAGTGGGCAGGAACATTTTACCAAAGAAAAGAAGGAAGAATGATTTCAAGAGGAATTGGAATTGTGATCATCTGCGACTAATGTGGGTATTTGACCTTGATTGACAAAGTCAATCTTGTTTAATCTCAAACAGCAAAGAATTTTCTCGGGTAATTCTTCTGGTTTTTGAGCCTGTATGTTTTTTTTAACAAGAAAAAATATTAGGGAGGGAAAAAGTTGTAATAGTTTGAAAGTACATCAACAATTCATGATTAGATTTAGATTACCTGAATTGTTAAGCCGAGATTCATAATCCCGTGTTTTAGACGTTCACGAAATGCATCCAATCCTTTTCTTGCTATGTAACTAAATCGATGAATATCAAGGTCAATTTCAAAGTAATTTGATCCCTTAAAGAAGTTGTGTTGGGGGCGTGAGAACATGGCTCCATATAATCAACAGAGTGAAGGGGACAAAAATATTAGTACTACTACTCCTCCTGTTGTTGCTGCACAAAGCAAACCAAATCTGAAAAAGATTCAAATGATGTCTAAAACAACAGGTGAAGATAATATTCAAAGCATAAAAACTTATGTTACTGAATTAAAAGAACGTGTGTCAAAGTTACAATACCAAAAACAGCTACTTGTCTGCCAGGTTAGTTACAATTTAGAAAGAAAGTAAGTTTTTACTAAAATTCCGAAAATGCCCTTTGTAAAATTATTGTTTTGGTTTGAACAGGCATTCGAGGTAGAGGAAGCAAACGATGGTGGTGGTGGTGGGGCCTCTGATGAGACGGATTTTGTGGAGGAAATGGAATATCCTATCATGCCACGTCACCTTGTGTTATGTCAGGTACCTATGGAACAAGCTTGTACTCCTCGAATAATAGTATTGCAATCACTCATATTACCATAAATTTCAATCCTATAGACTTACAATGCAATTTCGTTCTAGGTATAATTCCATCAATGATATACAACCAATAAAACTACTTTTGTCAAACACATATATGTACACTACACTAACGGCACACCTGTTGGATTAGGGTCTGATATGTGTTCTACAGGTGTATAATCGTACTGCCATCCCACTGGATTCATCCCCGTTGCTTTCTTTCTTTTTACATTTGGCAATGTCGGCTATCTACGTGTCATTTCCTACAAAATATCCGTTTGTGATAATAATTTAAAAATAAAATAAAAATAAAAAAACTCTTTTGTAAAAATGTATGGGCCGAACAAGAAAGAGTGCATTTTAATTGATTCATCAATTAACTTTTTTTTATAAGGTGTAAGTTAATTATCGTTCGATATAATCGACTTTGATCGATAAAAGTTGAAATGCAATAAATATGATCAAGGTTTTCTAGAGATAATGCATAATTAAAAGGTTCCCTAAATAATGTACTGATGAAACGTGGCTTTCGCATGTCGGCATACTTTTTTGTTTGACTTGATGGGCTTTCTTGGTTAACCACTTAATCTGGACAGCTTAGTGTATCAAAACACCAACCCTTCCCCTACTTGCCCTTAATATTTTTTCCACCAACTTCTCTCATGTTAAAATTGATGATGATTATGAAATCTGTTTGTTGGGATGTAAGGGTAAAATGGTCATTTGGTCTTAGGGGCTGTTTTATAGTTGCTAACCATTCAGCCACTTTACCATACAAGACTTGATGGGAAAATAAAAGAAAAAAGAAACAGTCCCTGAATTATTTGTATTGATTCATGATTGATACCTTGTGTTTTCCCATTCCAGGTAACAGTTTCAAATTCGAATCCAAACATAGTAATGGTTGGATTTCGTGTCCCTGTGGGGAACACATTAGCAAACCATATACCCTCTGAGATAACAATTTTCCAAAGAGTTATAAAACTAGACGAAGGCATGAGGTCATGGTATGACATCCCATTTACAGTTGCAGAATCCCTTCTAGCTGATGAAGAAATTACAATCTCCATAGGAACAACTTTCAACAGATCAACTTTACCAAGAATAGACACTTTAGAAATTTATGGTAGAGTAAAGGATGAATTTGGTTGGAAGGAAAAAATGGATGCAGTACTGGACATGGAGGCACGTGTGCTTGGTAGCAGTTCTTGGGTTTCAGGATCTGGGAAAAAACGTTGCATTGGTCAAGTTACTCCTATTGAAGAACAGGTTGTTTCAAGCCGTTTTGCCTAAATGAGAAATATATTATCAAGTACACAAGTCACTTCTCTACTTCAGTTTTTTATATTATGCTTTTACTAATTTACAATCACAGGGACAACAGATGCAAATGAGGAATCTTCACGATCACATGCCATTCTTCGTTTATAAATCTTGCAGGAAATGAAAGAGGTGCAGATACAACTGATAATGATAAGAAAACAAGGTAAAGGTTGGAATATAGAATGGAATGGAATGGAATGAGTCATTCCTTCCATTTCTTCCCTCTCTATTTTTCTCTCTCTCTTTTATTCTAATGATCAAAGTTCTTGTTTTTAATATCAGTTTCCCTGTTCTCTTTTATACTTGATGCACCTTTTATTTGCAGGCTTGGCCTGTGCGTACTCCAAGGCCTGTTGCTGATACCCCTCTTCTTACTGGACAGGTAAGTTTCAAATCTTTTTGTTGTGGATTTCTTATAGTTTCTTTTTGTTGTGGATTTCTTATAGTTTACTTAGCTTCTTAAATCAAAGAGTATAAAGCTTTCCTAATGTGTTCTAATAATTAAGAAAATGGTGTTTTTTTGAAAAATGCTTCTCAATTTATCTTATTAGGAAGAATGGAGAATTGGCCTCAAATCATATGTTTTTTTTTCCAGTAACTTCCACTTCCTTCATGGGTTTGTAACAATACTGATGGACTTTGCTATTTTGTTGTATGGTGTATTACCTTGGATATAATTTGTTTTTACAGTTTTCTCTTTTTATTTAATTTAAATTTGGATATAAGTTTGTAACACATGGGATTTATGATTGCAGCAAACAATCTTTCTTTTCTTTCCAGACATGATTAAAGGCATGTTTTTGGTTGTAGTTATTGGACCACCTGTTGTGGTTGCCATCATTTTAATAGTACAAGTATTATTCTATCTCTGAGAAATTTCATTTGCCATGTCATCAAAAGTTGCCAGATGGACTATTATCTTTCATGTTTGAGTTGGTTCTCAACTTGTAGAAGAATAACATAAAATATTTTGGCATCTGAGTGTAAAAAATAATATTTGAACTCATAAGTTCCTTAATAATACTTTATTGTGTTACATGTACTTTATTACTTACTCATAATATATAATTCAATCTGATTATTGATTATGTTTGGTGAGATCATGTTCTCTGTTCTTGATGCTGCATCTGATAGGGAACCAAAAGTTAGGACTTTTTTTCCCCCTGACACTTGAAATAACAAGGTAAGGAGAGCATTCTAAACATTCTGGAAACTTTAAAAGAAGACGGAAATAGGGTCTTGTTCAATGCTTTAGCTGGAAACTTTAAAATATTTTCACCCTTTTATTTAATATTTTTGTGATTGAATGAAAGTCTTAATGAAAGTAATTGACAACCCTTTCTCTGTAAATGATGTTGTGATTGTGGGAGAGGTGTTGTGTTTTTCTCTGTTGCTAGGTAACCTTCTCAACAACAACATTCTACTTAAGCAGGTGAGTAATCAAGATTAAGGGAGACTTGTAATCATGTTTGACATTCCTTTCCAGTAAGAAATAGAGTTGTATGATTATTTGTTAGTTTTATAGGAATGTATAACCCATGTTAGCAATGTATTATTTTTGTTTAACATTTGAATGATTCTTTGTATGACATTACAATTTGTGTAATT